CTCCTCTCCACCCCGCCCGTACCGTCGCATAGTTTCAGTTTTCATTCAATTGAATTGTTTCCTGCGGCTGCTGTTCTGTTCGCTTCTGTTCTCTCCTCTCCCTCTCTCTCTCTCTCTCTCTCTGTTCTCTCGTATAGAAAAAGGTGCGTAATTAAAACGATGCCCAGGCACACAGACAATTAAATACATGCCACACACACACACACAGAGGGACAGAGGCATGCATAAAGATGGCGCACAATGGCTGGAGCTGGCCAAAAATGAGCGATGAGTTTGCGTTTAATTACGTGGACAGGCGATGGAAGATGATTTTAATTTATGATCCGTGAATATACAAAGTGCAGGAACAGCAGAAGCAAAAGCTGTATTTAAATCTTGGATGGAGGAATGAGAGTTCAGAGCAGGAAACAGAGAAGGAGGCAGAGAAGGGAAGAATATACCAAGAAATCTCTGATAATAATGCCATAGAGAATCATGCACCAGGCGCCAATTAATCGAAGAATATTTACTTAATGGAAAAGGCTATTGGGAAAAGGGAAAGATTATACAAATAATTAAAAGTAAAACAATAATAAATAAAACGAGTAAAAGAGTAAATCAATATGCAAAACAATATTAAATCACAAATAGAATAGCCAAAAAAAAGGTAGAAAATCATTATATAAAATAATGTTAAATATTGCTAAAGAATATGTAGAATAAATAATAATATTTTAGCCAAAGATTGAAGCAAATAAATGCTGTGGCAAGAAATAATGCCATAAAGAATAATGTGCCAAAGAATAATATCCCAGAATTGAAGAGTAAATCCCAGACAGAGTCTGAGGCCAGCAGCAACAGAGTCTCAGCCAAGGACAACGCGGTGGTTGACATTCGCAAAAACGGAAATTGAATTCTAAAATATTTATTAGTCGTCTCCCCTCGCATGCAACAGCCACCACAGCTTAGCATACTTTTCGGTGGACAGGCAGGGCAGTGCCTGAGTGATTTATGCAGTGGCGCTTCCAGCAGCAGCAGCAGCAGCCGGAGCTGCGGCAGCAAATTGCAAATGAAACGCAATGAAACGAATCGAAATGGAATGAATTACAACTCGTACTTATGCATGAATATCCAGCCCCACATCCAATAAGCAGCAGCGAGAGTAAAACTACGACTACGAATAGATGGAACCCTGGAACCCCCCACAGCCACTCGTGGGAGAGTGGGAGAGAATGCCAATCAAAGCGGGTGGGTGCGGGGAAATCATACCAAATACACACACACACACTTATTACTCAGCCTGGACACACATGTTACACACACACACACACACAGTTTGAGCCATAGATTTATTACAAACAATCATCAGGATTTGCCGCCTGCTGGCTGCTGCTCGCTCTGGAGCGGACACGAGGACATGTGGAGCTAGGACATGAAACAACTGCTGGCTGTCCTGCTGGCTGCTGACATTCGACTATTGAAAGTCAATTTCGGGTGCGTGCCACACGCTCATTTGTCCAGTTTATGGCCGAAACATCATTTTGTTTTTTGGCTCATTCTCTGCCAATGAGGCGCAAACGCCTTTTATGCGTTTCAATAAATTCTCGCCTTCCGGCCTACAGCTACCACTCCACCATGCCCCCCCCTGTTCACTAATACCTGTTTATTGTTGCAGTGTTTACAAGGCTGCTGACATTGCATTACAAATGAGGCTTTTGGGGCTGCTCTCAAAGTTGAAGGTTTAATTTGCTGCCTTGATGGGCAATTATTGTGGCCAGAGGTCATTCTGGTATGTCATCTTTAGGAGGGGAAAATGCATTTAAAAGATGAACTTAGTGCAGTGAAGCAATCACAATTGAGCGCATTTAATGCCAACTCAGGGTAAAGGCTGATAGAAACTCTAAAACAAGTTTTGGCAGCGGCTGCACCTTTCGTTCTGTTAGCCAGAGCACTCTGCACACTCATCTGTGTCTCTCTATGGATATTTATGAACCCCTGACCATGTCCCTGTGCTCTATTAAGTGTCGCTAACCGTAACAGAAACAGAAACAGAAACAGAACAGGAGAAGCAGCAGCCACCCTGCAATGCCTGTCCGTGGCAGCCCCACCAAAAAAAAAAATAAAAAGAAGCAACAAAAATCTGTTAGAAATTCTATTTATATTTCGAAACAATAACCATTCAATTCCAACTAACGACTGGGGCCACGGCTACAGCTACGGCACATAACGAACCAATTGAGAGCCACGGACACGGTAGCCCTTTGGGTGGCAGCGAGTGGGAGAGCGTAGCATTTATTACCAATTGCTGTTGACCCTTTAAAGCGAAAGCATTTGAAATTTCTATGTGTGTTGGGTGGGCGCACTGACCATTGGAGACTGTACAGGACACCGCAGGCGCGACGACACAAACAAAACGTGATTCGCATACAAATAAACAAGGATATCGAAGGCGGAAAAGCCCACACACATGAGCCTCCAACCCCAACTTCCCATTTTAGGTTGGAATTGAAACAAATGCCACAGCACGGAGGCATGCCTATAAATTTTTTGCACAAAATACATGACCAAAAAGGTGCAGCCTGCAAGCTGCAACTTGCAACAAGGCAAAAGGCAGGGCACTGCTTGCTGGCTGCTCAAATGTGTGTGGGTGTGGGTGTCGGTGTGGGTGTGGGTGTGTGGTCGTGACACAAAAGGGTCATGAAATGACCAACTGGGGCATTGTTTGACTGCAAGTGGGCTCCGCCGGACACACAACATTTGAATGCAAAGCAGTTGGATACCCCACGGTCTTTGCTTGGATTTCCCTGAAAATGTTAGAGAGGATTTTCCACCTGCCAGCTGCCAATGGCAATTACGTACGAGGCTTCGAGTGTCCAACGGTCTCGCATGGCACTCACAAATCACGGCGCGAAATGAGGAGTCAACTATCTTCGACCTCAGGTTTGTGCAACGTGCAACTGATGCAACTGATGCAACTCTCTGCGTGTGTTGCATGTGTGCTGCACTTTCGAGTTGCTGATCCCAGAGCTCTGGCCAGGCTTTAGCTTTTGGTTTGACAAACATTTTGGCATCTCCAGTTCGTGCCCCTGTCTGGCACACCTTTCCCTCTGATCGATTAGTTGAGCAAGCAAATACTTTCACCCAGGGAATGCTCCGGCTGCTGTCAGTGCTGTGGCACGTTTTATGTCTGCCACTCCAGCTGCTTTACCGCTTTGCCGCTTTGCCGCTTTGCCACTTTCAACTTTATCTTTGGCACGACCGCCTCAAAATGTATGTTTCCAGGGGACCGTTGCAGGACATTTCTCACATGTCGTACGACATTTTGTTGCACATTTTTATGTGTGCTTTTATGCACTTGAGTGGCTGCCACAGCCACAGCCATCCACCACGCATCAACACATGGCCAGCATGTTGTCACTCGCCAAATTGAGCAACATTTTGTATGGTGAAAGCAGCTGCCAATTACCAGAGTATTTGCCTCATTAGAAAGTTATTCTTTTGCCAGCTAAAAAGTGGCAGAAAGTTGATCAAATTTAATCAGCGCATCACTGGGAATTCCTGCTATGTAAATGTTTGGGCAACTTTTTGCAGGCTCTAATGAACCATTCAGCAGCGGAGTGGAGTGAATGAATGGCAAACACTCATGCGAGGACTACGAATGAGTGTGCGTGAATGTTTTCTGTCTATAATCACTGCATATATGAATTAAAAAAGTTTCTCCTGCCTCTCACACTTGCTGTAGCAAATATTTTTGGTTGTAGTTTAAAGCAATTTTGAAGTCATTTTGTAGCCAATTTACTGAATGTGTCTGCCAGCCAGCCTGACTGCCTGTCGTCTCTCTGTGTGTGTGCGTGTGTGTCTGCAAATGCAATTACAGTTAGCACACACGACGGCAAAGTGTTTGTTTGCGCTTCTCTCCTCTCCGCTCTTCGCTCTCTGATTTTTTTCTTCTTTTTCTTTTGCTTTTTGTTGGCTTGCAAATGAGTCATGCTAATGGCAAACCATTAGCCAAAATGCCACTGTATGTGCCATGTGCATGTACTTCGTTCAGTGTGTGTGTGTGTGTGTGATAATTAAGTTGTGTGTGTGTGTGTGTGTGTGTGGTGGAGTGTGTGTGATTTTTCTGAAGGCTGCTGTTAAATATTTAAATGTATTCCATGCCCTTTGTCGATGCGGCGGCGTTGGCTCCGCTCTGCTCTGTTCTGCTCTGCTGATTGCCTTCTGCACTAAAAGTCTAATTGCAGCTAACCCCTCACCGCAGCTCCTGCAAGACCTTGCAACTTGTTTTGAAATTAGAATTATTAGAATTGAGTTGCATTTTGTGGCCTCAAAAAACTAATTGAAATGAAGTTCTGCACTGACATTTATGGAGAGGGCATTCGTGCACTTGATATTTCATTTTCATTCCACCTGTAATTGAAGCTAATCAACACGCTAATAGCCAGCAGCCACACTGACTGACTGACTGACTGACTGACTGACTGACTGCTATTAGCCGCCAGACAGGCGCTCCCAAGCCAACGGCTGATATTTTATTGTTATGGCTCTATGTGCCGCGCTGTGCTTCAAAACTGCACTTGAATGACTAATTAAGGTTTCATTTTGTAAAGGACAACACACAGGACACGGGACAGTGGCCATAGAGCACTGCCAATGGGCATAAGTGTCAGCGGAAGCGCACACTTGAGCAATGGGCGAAATGCGACATTTCCTTAATGAAGCGCACAGACATACAAAGTGGTTGCAGGCCCCTCCATTCAACTTTATGACGCTCTCGCTCTCCCAACGGAGTGAGTGTGTGGAGCCAACATGGCGCATGTGTAATTATAACAACTAGAGAACTTTTTTGCCGGAGTAACCCTGCTGCTGTCCAATGTCCAGCCATTTGTGCATTTGTCAGCTTTTTGTCATGTCTAAGTCCCCACACCCCACCCAGTCCAACTGCTCCACCGATGAGCTGTCAAAAGTTTGCAGCTCGAAGTCAGAGCATAGATGAAAATGAATGGGAGACACGTCCTTACCTGACACCAAGAGCTCACTGGTGCTGTTAACCAAATTGTCCATAATTGGCTGAAACGTGTAGAATGTCAACGTTTCCAATTTGTTTGCCTGCACATTGATGGACAGCAGCGCCGGAGTGCCACGCAGCAGACCATTGTCGATTTTCTTGAGCAAATTATTGCGCAAATTCAAAGTTTTCAACGTGTTCAAGCCATCCAGCGCACGCTCCGAGATTCTCTGTGAATATATGCAACAAAAAAATGCATCTTTAGATTAGTTTTTGTGTGTCTTCAATTTTGTAGTATTTATTTGTGCTACAAAAATTGTTACATTCTTTGTTTTTTGCTAACATTTTTCCGCATTTTTGCGTATTATTTTCATTGTGTGTTTCAGGCACAAAGAGAGAGGGAGACAGATTTCGCTTTTCATTGTCTTCCATTGTTTTTGTTTGCGTATTTATTTATGTGTACGTACAGTCACACACATAAGTGTATGCTAACGTATAAAGGTTCGTATGTGGCTTCTACTCTGTTTTGGTTACGGCTGTGTGAGGGTATTTAGGGGTATATCAAATATAGAGAAAATAAATCCTGGAGCCCAGAATCTTGCTTAATAATTCAGAATGCTTGGCTGCTAAATCTGCCTTCGATTGGTCCATTATTGTAGCTCAAAATAAAGCCCTAAAACAAGCGTTATTTGGCTCCTTGAACAACTGACTTTCGAGCTCCATTTATAAACCATATAAACCCCATCTACAGGGTATCTTCGTGTCCTCCCACGTGGGCTCTCTACTTCAAACATTCCCTGAATGCTTCTTGTTTGTGAAATTGTGCCCCAATTCGTTTGTCTTGGATTTTATTATACGAACAAAAAGAATCCAGTGTGGTGTGTTTTTCTTTTATTTTGATTCTGTCTCTCTTTTTTTTTGGTTCTACCGAACGAATGAAAGTGAAACCCCTTCCCCGCCTTGTTGCCACATTATTTAATATTCAATATGCTTTGTCGTTTTTGCTGCGGGGGAGCAGGGGAAATGGAAAAATTATGCATATTATATGCCGCGTCCAAGCAGCAAAACATGTGAAAAATAACCGAAAAACATGTAAGCCCGCGTTGTTTTTCTCGTGAGATTTTGTTTGTTGAGATGATTGACATATAAAATGTATATCTGCTCGTATATTTTATGGCGTTATTTTGTTAGTTTGGTGAGCGGCTGCCCATTTATAAGCCTGACAAAACGAGCAAAATATAATTTACGAGCCATTTATGTGCCGGCACAAAAACAGGTCAAGAGAGGGGCGCTCAGGGGGTTTAAGGATTGATTGAACATTGTCATGAATAATTGTCAGGGAAATGCCCTGAAAATTCCTTTGGATGAACTTATTTTTGCAGAGTTCCTTTAAGCTTTTCCTGCACTTTGCTTTAAGCTGTTAATTGGCTCTTCAACTTTTGATGCAAAGTTTTCAGCACTTTCGCTTATCCCCTCTTTATCCTGATTATCTGCTTATCTTCGCTCTATGCCTGGCATGCAAGGATCTCTTTTTATGTGGTGTCAGGTCGGGCCAAACCTTTTAACGGCAAATGATTTATGAAGTGAGCAAAAAAGCGGCAACCCAAAGCAAAAACATGCAACACAATTTGCTATTATCGGAGGGCGACAATGCCACACACACTCAAGGGGAGAGACACTTTTTTTCGGGCTGCTGCCCTGAGAGTAAGCAAATTCTGGGGGCCAGGAAACAATGCGCAACGTCGGCGATAACAAGCCCAATCATTATGGCTATGACAATGCGGCAAAGGAAGATGGATCCAGTCCGAAACCCCCACTTGAGTGAGCAGCACTCGAGGGTCCTGTAACCTACTGGCCTCACAAGAGTCCTCCTCTCTCTCTGTCTGTGTGTGTGTGTCTGGGTGTTGGTCCTGTGTGACACATATGCGAGTTGCCTGAGTGTGACATGATATGCGAGCACTTTGTAAAATGGGAAAAATGAAGCACGAGGCGCTGAAGGAGCAGCAGCTGGAGCTGCCCAGTATACGGATATGGATATGGATATTCAGGATTTACGCTCATGCAGAGCAAGAGAGAGCGGGAGAGCGGGAGAGCGGTGTATGCCTTTTGCCACTCATCTTACATAACTTTGTATGCTTCATGTCCTTGCGCTTCGAGTGTTAAGCGACATTTTTCTATTTACCAGACACAGACAGGACACACACCGTATGGTGGCCATTTTTATAGCTTCGCTTGGCTCCTGCGTTGGCCAGCAGCAGGGTCCCCGCCGGTCCCTGTCGCATATCAGATGGCTGGCAAAAGGAGTGCCCCCATAAATCCATTATTCCCATGATTTGTTATTCAATATTTTGTGAGTAGATTAACTTGCGGCACTGCCACATTTGTTTGCCACAGCCACAGCCACAGCCACAGCCAGAGCAGCGACGAAAGGCGATTGTCAGCGTGTAGTCTGACCCCGCAAAAGGGAAATGTGCGAATTAAGCAAAGGCACCCACCCAAAGGATCAACACTCACTCCCCGAACCTCACACCATCCCAAACAAAAAAGGAACATAATTTACCAATCTATTTATCATATTTTCGCCTTGGACCGTGGGTGGGTCAAGCCAGTGTCTGAGTGACCACTTAAATCACCACAAGAATAGACATTCGAATTGAATTTATGACACCCGGGCATAAAGTTGTTCTCCTCCGAGGATGTCTGACAGTGAGTGTGTGTGCCCCAAGGATATGCCATTTATAGCTGCAGACACAGCTCTAGCCCACTGCCATTCCCACTCTCTCTCTCTCTCTCTCTCTCTCTGTTTCTTATGGCCACTCGACAATTTATGACCTCTTAAGTCAGCTCCAAGCTGCTCCAACTGCTGTCCGAATAGTGGGTGTCTGTTTGCCCGGACAGCTGGTCGTGGGCGGCGGCACCAGACAAATCTCCTTAATCCACTTGCATTAGACTTGATTGAGAAGTTTCCCCTCTTAGCCCCCGTGCTGGAATTGCATTTGTTTTGCCTATAAATAAAACGCTGCCAAAATCCCAATTTACGGCAAATTTGTTTCCAGTTGCCGTAGGTGCTTAAGGGGAAGCTGTAACTATGATGAAATAACTAAAATATACTCTATATGCAGTGACATTTAGTCACTTACACGGCGCTGATATGCCGATGCTTTTAGGTAGAGCCAAAAGGTAGCAACGCTTTCGAGAGCTCAAAAGAAGATTTCTCTGGCAAACTTACAGCCAAAGTGGTCTACAAATAATCTTCTGTGTGGCTTTACCTCTAACTCTAAATATAGCCAAAATCTGTCATCTCTGAGGCTGCACCTCTTTCCACCCTAATCCACAACTCCCCTTGCAATCTTCCTCATATTCAGGACTCACCTCAATGCGATTATCATCCAGTTCCAGTTCGCTCAAGCTCCACAGCTCCGCAAAGACCGTGTCGCCAATAAAATTTAAATTATTACGCGTCAGCTTGAGGACATTGAGGTTGCCCAGACCGCGAAAGATTTCGCTGGTAAGGACATTGATTTGATTGTGCGCCAAATTCAGATACGTGAGACGTGCCATGTCCGCAAAGAGACCCTCGTGCAACGTGCTGATGTTGTTGTTGTTCAGGAAGAGTCGCTCGCAGAGCGGCAGATTGCGGAAGGCATAGCGATCCATCTCGAAGATTTGATTGTGCTCCAGATTGAGCTCCCGCAGGCGTATGTGATTGGCAAAGGCATCCTGATCGAGTGCCATGATGTGATTATTGTTGAGGATAATCCGCTCGAGGAAGGGCAGATTGGCAAAGGCATAACTCTTGACAATCTCCACCTGGGAGTACTCAATGACAATGCTGCTGAGGTTCTTCAGCGGCTCAATGATCATTGTGGGTATGTAGTCCAGTCGGGCATTATTTTGTATGACAAATTTGAGCTCCCGCAGTCGCTTCTGCTGGTAGAAGCGCGTCCAGGTGGTGTCATTCTGATGCAGTCCCTCGGAGAACACCCAACACTCGGCCTTCTGCACGGGCACATGATTCTCGTCGGGTGTGCAGTAGCACATCAGCTTCATGTCCCGCCTGCGTGTGCAGAAACCGGTCGAGTCCATGGGTCCAGTGTAGCCGGTGCTGCCGCCCGGCAGTGAAGAGCTGCTGGTGAAGACATAGCCGGAACCCCCAGAGTGGGCGGCTGTCAACGAGGACGAGGAGGAGGCGGCACCACCGACGCCATAGTAGGCGCCATTTGTGCTGGTTGAGGCTGAGGCCACGGAGCCCTGCTGACGACTGCGATTGCGGCGTCCCTCCTTGTCACTGGAACGCGCCTCGGAGCAGAGCAGCAGCAGCAGCAGAACTGCCGCTGAGGCCGCCATTTTATGGCGCTGATGATGCGGCAACATTTCGTTTTTTTTTTTTTTGGGTGGCGCTTCAAATGGTTGGCTCCTGGAATGGCACAAACAATACGGAATGACTTGGTCAATAAAATTTGTTTATCTGTCATAAAAGCAGCGCATTGGGGCGGGACACAGAAGGTGGAAATTACTTCAAAAAAAGAGAAAGAGAAATTCGATTTTCATGGTCTTGGCGCGGAAATGGTTTTGGATTTTATGTTGACTTGAGACCTTCTGTTAGCTGCCCCAGAAATCTCTGCCTCCTCCTGCCTTCTGCCTTAAGCTTTTTCTGGTGGCAACACGTCGATTGCCTCTCAGTGCTGTCTGCCCATAAAAATGCTAATTAATGTTGTTAACTTTTTCACATTTTGGCCTCATATTTCAGTACGGAATTTCGCGGTGAGTTTCTCATTCCTTACTCGAGCAGCTCAGCCCCTTCATTGCCTCTTTTTCTGACACTTTTAGCCCTAAATGAATATTGGCCTCTGGCTGCCTCTTGCTGCCTCTTGCTGCCTCTCTGGTTAGCTTCATTTGACGCTTCAATGCTGCTCCTTTCAACCCCTGCCTGCCGCAGAGAGCTTCTGTCTGCTGTCCTGCTGCTGTTTGCAGCTTTACCCCCCATAAACAAATTTATCGAGCTCATAAATAACTGCAACAGTGTCGCTGATTGTTCGCTCAATGGCAGAACTTTGAACGGCTTCATTTCGGCTAGGGGGAAATCCCTGGCAGGTCTCTGCCTCATTTTAGCATTTCAAGTGTCATTGGGCAAAGTGCTCTCTAATTATGCTCGTATTTTTTAATAAATTAATAAGTCACACTGTGACATTGGGCATATTTATAGTGTCTTCTGCTGTAATTCCTCCCCCTGCTGCTCCTGCTGCTCCTGCTGCTCCTTCAACTTGATGGCATAATGAAGTGTAAATAAGTTATTGTCGGATGTCAAGTGAGTTATCCTCGTTATCGGCAGTCAGTGAAAAGAGCGAGCCCAGTGATTTGCATAAAATATTGTCGCAATACACAGCATCTGGAGGCAGGGAGGAGACTGGGAGTGTGCCAGCGAGGGAGAGCAGGGCAATGGCAACTTCCTGCTACTGTTGAGGATTAGTTGGCTGCCGCGTGGAGAAGCCGAAAGTCATTTGAGTTATTGACTGCTGCCCCTGGCCCCCTGCGCCATGCTTCATTACATTGATTTCGATTATAAATTTTAAATAAAACGATGATAAGTGCTTTTGCGGATGCTTATTCAGGATTATCTGTCATTCTCTGGTATCTGCCTTTCGTGCCTCTGTGTCGAGGGCAAAGTTCATGGGGGGCTCAAGTAGCATTAGAAGTGGCATCACACCGCAGGATTAAGTACTCAAAATATACATGAAAAGTTTTTGGAGCAGACAGCAGACACAAGACAGCAGACAGCAGGAGCATGAACCATGAAGGAGCAGCATCTGAAGATGACTCCTTGATGACTCCAATTTAAATATCAAAGCGAAAGTCAAAACTAAAATGTTCTGACACACACGCACACACACACACGCAGCGGACCACAGGAGCCACAGCCTGAGAGCCTGAAAGCCTGAGAGCTCTTGAGAGATATTTTGAAATATTCTTGGAATTTGTAAGTGCGTCGTGAAGCAGCAAATCAAAAAATACAACGCCCCCACCCACCCACAGAATCCCTGTGTGTGTGTGTGTGTAATTAGATTTTCAAAATGATAGAGCGAGTGGGAGAGGATTTACATCTTTATTCATTGGCACACATCCACATATGATGCAAGGCAGACGCGCTCCTCGCTGACAGCCAATTACTCAAAAAAGAAAGGGACCAAGCCAGCAGCAGGGAGAGGAAAAATAGCTGCAGAGCGAGAGAGACAGAGCGAGCGTGCAAGCAAATGAAAAATCAATTTGTTGATTATGCATAAATCATAAGATTTATAGCTCTCATAGCTCCCTCTCTATCTCTCTCCCTCTCTTCTCATAACTCATTTATCAAACGACAGATACAACTTTTCTACTACTACTGCTGCTGCTGCTGCTCCTCCTGCTGCTGCTTCGTTTTCTTTCACTCAAGTCACAAAATCACAAAAACAGAAAGCGACGAAGCGTAACGGCAATCGAGAGAGACACAGCAATCATCTAGGAGCAGCTAGACATCCATCTACTGATGAACTTCGTCTTATATAGACCACCAAATCGCAGCTAAGAGATTGCCGGCATGTCTAGACGGTAGTCTGTTCCTTTATACAAAAGATTCTTGCCTGCTGTTGGCGATAAAGTGCTTAGAATTGATCTTGCTGCAGCTTAGAAGGCGGCACAAACTTCGAAAAGGTTGGAAATCAAATTGCGTAGAAATAGGTAAGAATTATTTCTCCCAAGGTAAGGAACCCCAATCGAAATAGCTATAATTCCTGCCTTCTCCTACCCACCGATCGCTTTCCAATTAAGAGCACTTTCAATGCCTACGTTTAAGCAACAGAAATCGCTTAAATTTCTTCAAATTCAGCCTTCCGATTAAAGTAATTGCAGTGCCTCCCTGGCTGCCTCTGCACAGTTCCACCTTTTAGGAGGCGTACACCAAGTACATAACCGGCAACATCATTAAACAACAGCAACAACTGAGCGGGGGGTCGGGGTCCTAGACTTGCCCTGGATATCACTTCCCTCTCTCACCGCTTCACCGCTCCACCGCTCGTAATTCTGAAGGAAAATTGCAACAAGAAGCAATTTGTCTTGTTGTTTATAATTTCGATTAAACTTTCGAAGCGAGAAACGCACACACACAAACACACACACACACACACAGAGACAGGACTCGGGGCAGGTCCTGTGGAGCGTCGCATATGTTTCAAGTGTGTATCTGTGTGTGTGTGTGTTGAGTATCTTTAAGTGTGTCTGTCCTATCTGTGTGTGCGTGCAAACAATGGGCCATGCCGGGCTAGCCCCCACCCAAAGGGGAAGCGTGTGAAAGTGTGACAGAAACTGTCGACAAGGGAGAAAGCGGAACGGTAGAAGCCGAGGGAGCTGAGGGAGCGGGCACGACCCAGTAGGAAATTGGAGCAAAGCCGCAGCCAGTCGACGACGGCTGACAGCTCCACTGCGATGGCAACGGCAACGGCAACGGCAACGGCGACTCCCAGCGGCGGCCAAGCCACGCAAGCAATTTTCCCAGGGAACACACACAGAAACACACATGTAATGTAAATTTGTGAACTTTAAAAAGCAGAAGACTTGCCTTGCCAACTGCCTGCCGTGCGGATGAAGAAACAAACTTTGGCTTAACGACACTCTGCCTTGCTGTCTATGCAAGGAGCAGCAGCAGCAGCAAGTGGGTAGAGGAGAGCTGCCAGAGCAGCAGTGGCAGCCTCAGCGATCAAGACAATCAGGCAGAAAACCCCAATCTGAGAATCTGCTCTCGTTTGCTGCCTGTTACTCCGCGTGGAAATTGTTTTCAATTTTCATTATTTGACAAATGGTGACACTTCCGCTGTGTGGCAGCAACAGCAACATTTCAGCAGAGACTTTTAGCAGGAGACTTTAACAATATGTCTGCCACATGTCTTCCATGTCTTCCATGTCTCACTCTTCCTCGAGGAAGACTCACTCTGCCGCGTTGGCAGTCTCTCTCTCTCTGTCTGTCTGTCTGTCTGTCTGTGTGTCATGAGGTTGTGTCAACAATAAGTTTTTATGCCGGAAGAGAGACTCACTCCATAGTTGTTTATGGCAGTAAACCATCATCATCAGCAGCAGCAGCAGCAGCAACATTCTCTCGCTGTGTGTCTGCATTTATATATCTGTGTGTATATCTGCAGGTTTATCCCTCCTAACTATCATGTGAATATAACTTTAAGCTCTGACATGAGCGCAGCCTCAGAGACGTGCCTGACTTTGACTGACGAGAGGCAAGTCTGCTGGCTTGCCCCAATAAAAACTACTCGCTCGCTGTTGGTCAAGTGTTGGGACAAACTGCAGTGCCCCTAGCCCCTAGCCCCTTGCCCTTGGCGACTTCTTCTGCTGACAAATGACGCAATGTTAAAGCCAAAATGGCACACACACAAAACACAGCCATCAATCAGTTTGTTTCTTGGCTGGGCCAACTTATGATGACGTCCGTCCGCACACGTTTTATTTGTATTTCTGGGATTTGTCTCTTGCGTCACACACACACACACACACACACACGATTGCCCTGTCAACAGCAGCAGGAGACTGTCCCTCCTGTAACTCTCCTTCCTGCCTGCTCCTTCAATAATATATATTTATTGTCAGGCACATGTCACACTTCATAAATATTTCATAAATTGCTTCGCATTTGGTACACCAAAACTTTTCCTCCGACTGTCATTTGTTAACCCTTTTTCTTCTCTGCTTTCCCTTTCCCTTACTTTTGCTCATTGCTATTACTTTTATCAGGCTAGTTAGGAGGGGGCTGCCAGTCATTGCCAGCTGACACATATTGTCCTTAGGGGGCACTGCCATCGCCTCTCTCTTCTTTGTCCTCCGCCTGCACTCGCATGGAAAATGTTATTCAAATTCTCACTTCTCGTCGCACTTTCGAGTGCTTTTACTTTGAGTGTTCGTTTTTTTAGCTTTTAGCATACCTGTCAGTTCGCCCCCCCAGAAATAAAATGAAAAACTAGTTGCCAGAAAATGTAAACTTTCCCTCTCTCTCTTGCTCTTTCCCTTGCCTCTCTCTGAGGGCCCCAAAAGTTGACACATATTTGTGCTGCCTGCTGCCTGCCACGCCCCCTGCCAGACAGACACCGCCCCACTGCACTTGATCTAGCTGCTGCAACATTACTTTGGCAGCCCTGCCTTTTTTTGTGTCGCGATTTTTTGGCTTTAACTTTTTGCTGCCACACTGTGTTGGCCACAGCTTCCTCCGCTGCAAGCCTTGGCAACTGCTTGATGCCCAAATTGGCAGCACCTGCCCGAAAGCAGTGGGGAGGGTACTGCTCAGCCCTGTGTCCCGGCTGATAAGTAGAAGATTTTTCTCTTATATTCTGCTTTGACTTTCGGCGAAGTAGAAGCGAATTTATTTGTGCGCTGCTGCAACTTTTGTGTGTTGCAACAACTTTGCAAAGTGAAAATTTGTCAAGCAGCGCCAGGACTTACGGGGACCGTCTGCTGTCTGGATATAATAGATTCTTTCAGTTTAGGCAAAAATGCTGCTCCTCAAAGACAAACAGGCAAACACAAACACAGAATATAAACACAGAAAAAAGAGACAAACACAAACACAAACACAAACATTCGGGCAAACATAAATACAGACGACTGTTACCCAAGGCAGGAGGAGCGACACAACTTTTAACTCACTTGCCCAAATATTTTAGCAACATTTTTGAATAAAACATTGCCAAGATGCCATTTGACAGACTGTGCAGGGAATGTTACCCTCTGCTTTAGGCTTTTGCCTCACTCTCTCTCTCTCTCTCTCTGCTGCTGCACCTGTCGCCCTTGCCATTTGTCATATATTGAGCAATGCTTTTAGATGTGCAAAGATTTCAGCTCTCACTCAGACGGAGCAGACCAGGACTGGCTTAATTAGTTGCAAATTCCTGAGAGGGGGAACAAGTTTGCCTGGAGTACTCCTGGGGCTCACACACACATGACTCCTGCCTGCCTGCTACCTTTTTCTAGGGCTGTAACATTTTACCTACCTTATCCTTTCGTTTGGCTTGCTGTTGAAAAGGCCTCGTCACGTTCAGGGACAGGGACCACGTCGTCGATCTATCTGCTGACTAATGCAATGTGTCTCTCTGTTCTGTCTGCAAAATAAAAGGTGGAAAAACGGAATTACTACAAATGCTAAGGGGGAATAACTACAATTATTCTAATGTCATGTTTTGGTTCCAGTTACAGACGCAATTCAGAAAATATTCGTTTCAGCGGGTGGAATATTTGTTGTATATTATTTATGGCAGTCCCCGAATGAATGTTAATGGAAATTATATGTTGAAATATCTATTAGACCGTTAGAAGGTTCATTCCTCTTCAATACTAGAACTAATCCTCAAGCCCTGCACCCCTCCTGTAGCCTGCTCCCCCCTGTAATTGCGTTAATTTTCTCGTAATTGTGGCTCCTGGCCTGGGGGCCCTAGGGTTTCCCTTTGTTGCCGCCACAGGACATGCGATAACAAAAACAAAAAGAGAAAGAGAAAAAAACGCAGAAAAAAAAAGGAAAAGCTATTAACACGAAGTCGCTGGTTAGGGGACACTGCTGCTGCTGCCACATGCCACATGAATGTGCGGGTGTGTGGGTGGAGTGCGTGGGTCAGATGATGACTTGGGTGGGGCCTACAGGCCCGTGTGGGCTGGCGCGTTATTCAAATAGTTTCTGTTTCGTCAGGGCCCTGCAATGATGATGACGACGATGACGACAGCCCGACCTTTTCCTCTGCTGCCAAAAGGCGAATAGCCACGCCCCACTCCTCCTAGACTATTGTGTGTGTGGCATGAAATAATTGCATTGGCTATGCCTAAACCGCGGAGAAACATTAAACAACAAATGCCCAGCGAGCAAGTGGACATTTCCCTTCCACATTTCCCAGACTTTATTTTTTTAGTGGATTAGAAGAGGCACCGAACGGGGCAGGAGGGGTGTGTTTATGTGGGTGAGGAGCAGCTGGCTGCGGGGGCAGCGCTTGTTTACCATTCGTTGACCATTTCCCCACCTCTAATCCCCCAGTGCCTACTTCCAGCTCTCATTTAATGGTAATTATGCCCGCATTATACTCTGCAGTCAGTCCCTTATCTCTCTGCGACTTCATGTGTGGGGTAACATTTTTTTGTTATGTTATTTGAATATTTAATAAGATTTATGCCATTCATTGCTCCCACTCCGCGAGCGTCTGTCGATGCCTTTCTGCTGATTAAGCATTGAATAATTGCTGACATGGACAAGAAAATGCCATTGTGTGGGGTTTGATGTGGGGGAAGAGCGCAGGGGATAGAGCGGCGGCATAGAGTGGTTTCCCTGTATCATTGGAATCTGAAATTTGATTGTCGGTGGAATGTCAAACAAAGTTCAAACGGCGGCTGCCACTGGCAACCGTCGACCGTCGACCGTAAAAACCCTAAATGGGAAACCTCAGAAAGGCAATTCAACAAAAGCCAAAAAGCACAAAGCCAGAAAAAATGTATGCAGGGAAAAAAAACAGATAATCAGAAAATAATACGAACAACAAGCCCATACACATGTACGTAAATGGTATTGATTGTGAGGCTTAAATGTTAGGAAACGGATTCAGAAAGTCCGCTGTGATAAGAGCTTAAATATTGATATATATATCTATATTTATTTATTATTACAGCACACACCAACAAAGATACTTTAAGGCACTTTTACTACAAGTTACTGCACGATCAGTAGCAGAATTCGGAGCGGAATTTGTTGCATTTAAATATTTGGTTAAATTTTTGTACTTTTAAGTATCGAAATCCACAGAAATATGCTAGTAATCTTTCCATTTGAAGCTTAATCCACTTTTCCTGAATATTTTCATTTCCATTACACCCTGCTTAACCATCCACAAATTCCTCCCACAAACAAGACTCGCTTTTGAAATTGTTTAAAATCAATTTACTTAAACGTTCCCTCTCCCACTTCTGCCACATTCCATTCGTTTCGCAACAATTTGCATGTGGATAATTCTTGGGAAGACTCTTTCTGGGAAATTGCTGCAACGTTTCTCCATTTCATGTGTGGGGCAATAAAAATTTAATATAATTACGCACAATTTCCAGTTGAAGTTTATGACAGAGACATGCACAAACACGTTAGCAGGGAGACACAGAGCGGAAGCTGGAGAGAGGGGGAGTGGCATCACATGTATGGCAGGACCTCGACGTGACTTTTGACAGCGCCTTTGGATCCTTCGGCTGCCCGGGTTCTACTCTGTCGCTTTCTGGGGACTTTATGAGGCCCCGCAGCCGCCTCTGTCGCCGTCGCCCTTTAGCCAAGACAAACATAAACACTTGTGCGTAGTGAAGGAGGGGGGTGTGTGGGTGGGGGTTGCAGCAGCAGCAGCAGCAGCAGCAGCAGCAACAGCATCAGCAGCTGATTTCAAAGCTTTGCTGCTGTTCTTGCGACAAATAAGCGACAGGCAGAACCCCTGAAGCTGCCTCAGATGAAAGTTTACAAGCAACCAGGGTTGCCACACACACGCATTGCCTCTACATGTGGAGGAAGAAGTGGAGAAGTGGAGACACCGCTTGCTGCTAGGAGTGGGTAGTGTTGTGTGGAAACGTGCGCACCCAGGAGTTAAATATTTGTTTCGCTTGTTTACCATTGAAGACCCCAAAAGCAAAGTTGTGCCACACAGATCCAGGCTGATACCCGACCGATAGCCTTGGCCCTTAAACTCTAGACTCTCCCCCACTGCCGCGGCACCCCTCTGCTAGGTATTTCCCCTCTGCAAGTGCTCTGCATGTGCTTAAGTCTTTCCCCATTCAGTCTGTTCTCATTTGCCCTTGGTGGCAAGTTGTTATTTCTTCATATTGAGTGGCTGCGAATGTTATATAGGGGTAAAAGCAGTCGAGTGGGAACAACAGCAGTAGCAATAAGTGGGAGAAACATTATGCAGAAAGAGGTAGAAAAATGAGCAGAAATGGAGTGGGAACAGCTGCAGGAAGGAAGATTTACCACCTAAAACCCATCTTCGACCTCGTTTAAACAATTCAAAAATTCTACAAAAATCTGCACCTGCTGCCGGAAGCTTCTCTTCTTTTTCCCCTATATGTAGCCCTCTTCCCTGCTGCCCAACCACATGTCCTGCTGCTTCCGGTGCTGCTGCTAATGTAATTAGGTAATAAAGCCGCTTGGCACCTGCTGAACCGCACCGCTCCCACTCTCCTCTCGCACCCATTTAACCGACTATAAAAACATTAGTGACAAAAATTAATTAGGCCAAAAACAGCAGCAGAACGGCAGAACGGCAGAACAGAACAGAACAGAACAAACACACACGGTCCGGAGCGTATGGCCATGCTAAATGGTCATAATCAACTTCCGTTATTCCGCACCCACTGCCACGCCCCCTACGCGTGGCACCCCCTACTTGCCCCGTTTGCCCACTGTGCTCTCATTTACAACAAATAAACAGGGATATAAAAACCATGAAACTGATTTTTCACGCCATTTTCATTTACATTTCTGCGGTTGTTTTTTTGTTTTTTTTGTTTTTTTGGTGGAACTTTCCTCTCTTTTGCACTTTCTATCTTTCTAGTGGTGGTGTCTCTGTCCCACCCGCTTGTGTGCGGGGCCGCCACATCTGTTTATTTGCTCTGCCCTGCCCTGCCCCAAGTGGTGGCAGCAGCGGCGGCATCATGGAAACGCATGTGTAATTAAAATATAATAATAATTTCCCCGAATACCGCAACAAGCAAATAAACAAACAAAAGAGCGAAAGCAAAAGCAGAAAACAGGACCAAAGACACAGACACAGATGGAAGAAATGGGAGCAAGGGAGAGGCGGCGCAGGTGGAGCAGCGAAAGCGAAATCAAAAGAAAACCAGAGCATAAATAAAACCACCCACACCCACATAATGGAGTTTTATGGTGAAATACGAGTTGTGAGCCGACTAAAGGATATCTTCTACTCGGAATATTTATCTACAGAAGATCTACAGAAAGAGATCAAGCCAAGAGCTGCTTAATATCCCAAAGGGAAACTCTCTCAGTTGCTCGCTCTCTTCGTGCCAAGGAGAGCGGGAGAGTGAGAGCGCTGTGGGAATACAGGGGAATACAGCTTACAGCCAGGCTCTCTCCCCTACAGGGTATCACAACAGACTCGCCGTATTTATGACGAAAGTTTCGAGTGGGGCACACCGCCCTCTGGCCGCTGCCCCTGTGATTGTCTCTCTGCTTGTAGGACCCGCGAGTGAGTCGGGCAGGCCATCTGCTGCTGCTGCTGCTGCTGCTGTCGCTGCTGCCTGCCAATGATTATGATGATGGCAATCCTGCACGCACACAAAACGCCGAACAGGTGGAGCTGCCTTTCTCCTTTCTCCTGCACCCCTTCGCACTCGCTGTATGTCCTTCACCTTTGCCTGTGATTCAGGCCACCTACCTGCTGGTGCGCTCTCCCCCTTGGTGCTGCTCACCGCTTCGCTTTTTGTTTTGTGCACATTTGTTACGCTCAATAAATGAAAATGTTCATATAAATATTTCATATTTCTGGCTGCCGCCACTTCAGCATGTGCCACGCCCCCACCCCTTTAACGCACTCGTAAAAACAGTTTCCGCCCATTAAATTGACATACGCGCATTCGCATTCGTATTCGTATTCGTATTCATTTCCCTTTTGGGCGCTCTCTCCCTTTCCCTTTCATCCTCTGCGCCACCCTCGCCCACTCTTTGGCAGCGTTCTTCCACTCGAAAGCTCTCTCCCACGCTTCTCGCGCTTTTCGTCTTCCTGTGTTCTGCTCTGCTTTGCTTTGTGTATTTTTTTTTTTATTGCTTTTCTCCTGTTTGCACAAGTTTTGTAATATTTTCGGTTTATGTTTACAGTTGGCAAACGCATTAAAATCACAGATTTACATTTTTTCACATTCTCCCTCTCCCTCTCTCACTCCACGTTCGCTTTGCCAGCCAGTTTCAATCCCAGCCTGTTGTCACCCTCTCAAAGCGAAGCTCTCAAGAAGTTCGTTCGTTCTGTCACCCTCTGTCATGGACCGTTGGCCGATACCTTTCCTCCTCTAGCTATTGTTTCACTTTATCCATTTCAATCCCGTTCCATTGCGCCTATTCCCAAATGTCTAGCGATCC